ACAGAAAACATGTGGTCAAAAATGTTACCGCATATCGTGCAGGGTATCTGGACTTTGCGTGGACTCGACCGACCTTGCCTATTTTGTTCAGTAGAGGGCGCAAATCACACTACTTTGAGTCGTTTAGCGCAGCAAGAAAAAAGACCGCTTCGCGTCTCTAGCTCTAGCTCTGCGCATATGCAACAACTTGAACAAGCGATCGCTCATCTTCCATGTGTTGTTGAAGCATTAACAAATAACATGTGTGATGGCTGTGCGAGCTGGCCTAAGAGCAGTGTTAATCGACCTGAGTGGTACATTACACATTGAAGACAACATTATTCCAGGAGCTGTGGAAGCGCTAGAAAGGTTGACCTTGAACTTTGAAAATGAACATCGTAGGGATTGGGAAAGATGGATATGGGCCTAAGCATTGAGCAGTTTTATTGATATTATAAACATCATTTGGGACAAATTCTGCATCCGACCATCACAATCACTACATACCTACTTTTTACTAGTAGTACTCAAGGATGCCTTAGAAGTTAGGTTTGTCGTGTGCACTGACTCCGCCCCTCTCTTGTAGAGAGGTGGAGTGGACCCCAAGGTCTACTGTAGCAATAGATAGGGGGACACATTTAATAAGTAGGGTAAACCATGGAGGAATAAACTTTCGGGTGTTCATGGCGCAGCTAGTGGGTGAACTGTGACAGTCTGGTACGGAATTCTCTCTCTCTTCAATCTTTGGAAGTTTCCCAGCATCATTAACACACTTTAAAATGGAGAGAGTTGCCTTCTTATTACTGGATTCAAATTGAAAATATGCAGTACCCTCTCCCCAGAACTATGGAGCTTCTCCAAGCTCAGAAACAAAACATGGAGCTCTGGTTCTAGGCCGCTTGGGGTAGAGGTACCCATTTCTGAGCCCGGGATTACCAGTATTGTCACGCAGCAACATCAGTGTGGATGTATTTTAAATATTAGAAATAAACCCTTGGATTTTTTTCCCTTGCTTGGTTAGATTAAGAGCAGCACCTGTCAAACTCAAGTTTGTGACCAACACCACCAAAGAGAGCACCTCCACCCTCCACCAGCGCCTCCAGAGACTGGGCTTTGACATCGGAGTGCACGACATCTTCTCGTCCCTGACAGCGGCTCGAAATGTGGTAACAGAGGGCGGCTTGAGACCCATGCTGCTTCTGCAGGAGGACGCTCGGAAGGACTTTGAAGGTGTGACGAGTGGGGTATCATCTTTAACCTTGACTCCTTGACCGTTTCTTTCTAGGAAGCCTTCCCAGTCTTGCATAATCCAACGGAACCTATCATAGTGAATTTCAAAAGAACTGGCCGGAGAATAGTATCCCTTTTATTCTGAAGAGTAGAATTTCACATGTCATGTTTACTATTACTCCTATTCATGTAAGATGAGGCTTATGCATCAGAAATTAAGATAACCAATCTTTGATGTTTATCTACAAAAAAATTTTAAAAATCAACTACAGTGTAGTATGAGAACTGGTAGAGTTGGCCACCTTTTGCTTAAAATGACGCACACACTAGTGGACTGGTAACATGTGACTGGCATGTTTGCTGCCACCAAGCATCTCTCGTCTCTCATGTTAGTAGGTATCCGCTCCAAGCGGAACAAAAAGGGGTGTGGTTTTTTTGGGCACTAACAGCATAGACGCGCAAGTGTATGGGCGTTGGACGCGGAGCACTCTGAGTACGCATAAGTAATTTATTCCGGCTTGTGTGGTCTTTGCATACACACAGAACACGTGCAAAAACCCGCTTGTAACCACCTGTCCTTCTTTCGCCGATTGGGGGTGCACTTCAGCCAGGGGTGGATAGGATGTGTAATGTTAGATCTTTCCTAAATGGTATTTTCAACACTTTGATATGGGTTCATTCTTTAAGTTAAGATGCAGGGTACATGTTTGGAGCCAGTTAAGGTCAGAAATGACCTGGGTAAAAAGTGTATCATGCGTATTGGACGTAAGGTCACTTTCTTTGAAACTGTGTTAAAATACGGGCGATTCACAATAGTGCGCCTCCAAGAGTTTGCAACGCTTTGGCCAATCACATCGCGCGAAATCTGTCGACCCGATAGGCGTTTGAAAAGAGTTGACAGATTTCACATATCCTGATAGGCCAACGCATTGCAAACTCTTGGAGGCACACTATTGTGAATCGCCCAAATTGGAGAATTCGCTTATTGTTTCACGTATGTAGCTTTTTTCCTAATCTGTTCACCAACAGGCATCCCTACAGACTCGCCCAACTCTGTTGTCGTTGGTCTGTCCCCCGACAGCTTCAATTATGCAACACTCAACTTGGCATTCAGGTAGAGACATGTTTGCCTCTTTGCTCCGCAAGGCCATCAGTTTGGGTTATCAGATACCTCTCTTTCTGTGTGGCTGCCACCTGTGGACCACTGATTTCCAATTGGGAAGTAACTTTCCCAAGCTTACCTCGTGCAGAGTAGAGATCAGTTGGATGTGTCTTTTAAACTGTCTGCTCGGTGAACAGACTGCCAAAAAAGCAGAGAGAAGCTGTGATATCAAACGTTAACACGTGAGTGGATTGATGAATAAATGGCAATTAATATGCCATCTGCTGACCGCAATATTAGGATATGAATCCCTTTTTTTAGGCTGTGATCATGTCTCACTATTTCCGTGCCAAGAGTCCAAGTCTGTGAAACTTCTTTTTCTAGATTGTTGCTAGACGATGCAAAGCTGATTGCCATCCACAAGGCCAGGTACTACAAGAGGCTGGACGGCCTGGCCCTTGGCCCAGGACCCTTCGTCGAAGCCCTGGAGTACGCCAGTGGTACCAAGGCATCCGTCCTCGGGAAACCGGAGAAGGCATTCTTCTTGGAGGCCCTGAAGAGCCTTGGATGCCGTCCCGATGAAGCCGTGATGATAGGAGACGTAAGATTGATATATGGAGGCACAGTGTATGGAGAATTCCTTGGGGAGATGGGGAGTTTAGAGGTCAGCTCACCTCTACAAACATGGCGTCAAAGGTTTTTACTTCAATGCTAAGGTTATACATGAGCATCCTCAAGACTTATATGATATTGGAGAAAAGTATTACTTCAAAGGGAATTTCAGTTCCTTTTCCCTCTTCAAAATGATACTGATTGTTAGTCATTGCTACATGTATTACTCTAATATTTTCTGTGGTTTGTTGTGAAATGATTTGCAGGATGCCAGAGATGATGTGGAGGGAGCCGTGGCTGCTGGCTTGCAAGGAATCTTGGTCAAAACAGGTCAATTATATTTCTATGTTGTTGAATAGTCAGTAATTCATTGTTCATTTAATTCCTTTGGCAGGTGAATAAATACATGAAACATTCATATCTGAACACATCTCAACCAAAAACAACACTTCATAGTTTGGTCACTACTTTCAACTAAGCACTTTGTTGGAGAAATGAGAATTTTACAAGAAGTAAAATGGGATCAAAATACCCACACAAGAATAGTTTTCAGAAGCTTTACGATAAAAAACAAACCACAAAACCCTAACCAAAATGACTGCATATTGTCCCCAAGAAACTTTTCAATTAAAGGACCTCATTATTTTAAGGTCTTTAAAAATTTTGGCTTCATGTGCTGATACACAGGTAAATATCGCCAAGGTGATGAGGATCGCATCCAGCTCAAAGCGACCGCTGTCTGCCGAGATTTCCCTGAAGCTGTAGAGCACATTTTTTCCAAGATGTTGTGACCCAGGGCCCCCCATCCTCTCTGAATGGTCAACATAGAGGTAAGTTGGTCACATAGGGCTGCCTCTCATTCACTTCGACAGCGGATGCATATGTATTGACCCACTATGTCTCAAGGAACATCCACTCTGATGCTGTCCTTGCCAGGTTGTTTAAGCATGTTCCAATCTATGGAATTCCATCACCAATAGAGTTGTAACAAGTCAACTGCTTGCCAACCTCCAGTCATGTGGTCTCAAGCTGTTCTCATGAACTGTCACAAAGGCATTCCTTTCGTCCTTGTTTCTTCAGTATGATTTATACCACACTGATGACCAGGTTTCCTGTGATTTTTCCTGCTACTTTGGCACCAGAGATCAACCAGTAAAAACAGGTCTCCCCTGGCGTACAAACTTTCTCCTCTCCTGTGCTGTTTAATTTTACATTCATTGGTCGAAGGTAAATTATTTTCCTGTCTTGTGGATTTGGTCAGCTATTGGACTTCTCATTTGGAAATTTTCCCTGAAATTCATACCTTGTAACACCACCCACACTGCAGGGCATTAACAGTGTCTACCCCTTCCACTCTATCTTTGATTGCAATTCAATACTTATTCCTCCAAAACTGAACGGAGTTGTCCCATATTTTACTCTGTCTTCATCTTCATTATATTCTTCTTCAGAGAAAAACCTCTTCTCTTTCGTCTTCTTTGTCCTCGCTTTGCGAAACCTCCCCTTCCTCCTACTTACGAAGCCCCTTCAGGAGCCCTGACTGTGGTTTGGCCCCAGACGTCTTCCACACATTGTCCTCATCATGCTTCCTGTCGATGGATTCATATTGGTAGGAGTAGTCTAAATCCTCCTCTTCTTCTGATTCCTCATCCAGGGATACACTCTCTTCATCTCCGCCCCTTTGTTTCTTTCTCCTGCTGGCCACATCTTCATCACTTGAAGCCCTGCATTGACAAGAACATTTTTTTTTCCTATCTCCCTTGTCACTTCAGATAGGAAGCCTGTGGTACCGCACAGTGCATGATTTCAATGGTTCATTCTCTGTAGTTTGACTTTGAAGGGGCATCAAGCCCTCTGTGAAGTCAAAGTGATGGGGCTCTGTATCAAGATCTTAGCATCCACAAACCTGAGGGCCACCACGGTCTTAATCTGCTTCGATGTGGTGGGTTTGTGTGTCACAACAGCCAAAACTTTTCTGTCCAGTAGTACATGTATATTCACTCACATGGTTAGTGGGCATCCAGTCAGAAACAGAAAAAGGGATCATCTGTAGTCAAACGCAACCTACCTTTCGAAATCAAACGCCCCGATGTCTACAGTGTAGTCAACTGGCCTGCTGCACAGTTGACACACATTTTGGATTTCGTCAACACATTCCAGACAGTAAATGCCTACACAGATTTTCAAATGAAAACAAACTTGTTTCATGTTCATTTGATTATGCATTCTATCTTAATTTTTAAGGACGGAGATGGGCTTAGCAGGAAATATCCAACATCACTATCGCATGTGCTGTGCATCCATACAAAGGTGTGTGAAGATGCAATTAGTTGCGCATATTCAGTTGAAAATTAACATGCTAGCAAACTAGAGAGATCATATGATGCCTTCTACCTTTGTTCCTAAACTAGGCCAGACAATGCCATTTACAGTTCCTGAGCACAGCTCGTACAGTGGCGTAGCTAGGATTTTACTAGTGGGGGGGGGCACAGCATCTTATGGGAGGCACCAGCTTTCGGTGGTGTGGTTTTTTCGGGGAAAGCTTTTGTTAGCCTTGTTCAATATCCATTCATCCGTGTTTTTTTTTTTAGTGGGGGGCACGGGGGGGGAGGGGGGCACCGGGAATTTGTGGGGGGCACGTACACCCAGGCCCTGCCCCATGGCTATGCCATTGAGCTAATGTGACACCTTCACGTCTTAGTGGTACCTCTGATTGAAGGTTGATGGTTTTGGAGAATGGGAAGATGGGTAAAGATATCTCAGTGAAAGTAATCGAATATTGGTTCATTAGAGGGCTCACACCTAAAGTAAAGTCAACATTTCTTGTCTATGCTTCAGTCGGATGCTTTTCAAATTCTCTAAAATTTATTAAACTCTCTTCTCACTCTTCATCCCAATTCTGCTTCTTCAGTATTAAGGCTGTCAACGGCTTCTTGATGATAATCGTCGTAAGATATTGTCCATGCTTCTTTGCAGTGCTGTAGTGAAGTCCGTTGAATGTCCAGTTTTAAGTCATGTCACAAGGTATTTATATGATCTGTGACAAAACATTCCTTTTTTATATTCATCCTCTTACTTACGACTGAACTTCAGAAAGGACTTGTGATGGACTCACTACAACACTGTTTCTGAAGGGGCAGTGTGCTGTCGTAGCTTTCCCAGCCAAATAAAGGAATGTCTTACCTGGGCATCCAGCATTGGCGCAATTCACAAAACCCTCTGTGTCCTTAACTTTTCCTGGCGCACTGCAATTCACACAGAACTTCCATTTGAATCCACAGATTCGGAGAATTTTGGCCCAAACCTTTGACCTGTGCATAATGCAAGAATGACAGTGTTGCATGAAAGTCTGTTTTTCCTCGGATCATTTTCTACTACTTGTTCACTTGTTCTGATCACGCTTCTTACTTTTCTTCTTTCAAAACCCTTTTCACTTAATACTGATGCTTAATATTCCTTGAACCAAACTGTAAAAGGTGTGCATTGGGGCCAAAACAAAAGAATTATTAGATTTTTGTCACCTCTTTCCATTATCCCAAAGAATGGTTATCCGAGAACTCTGACATGAGACGGCAGTCTTACTTTTCCCCCGAAGTGCCTTTAAAATCATTTTCATTCATACGCTATCATCTCTGAGCTCACCGAGATCACTCTTTTCCATATCATTACTGGTTTGCATGTACCCCAGAGTTGCTGACTCGAGTCATGTGACTTCGACTGGAGTCGGACTCGATTCGCTATTTTTGTGACTTGATTTGTAAATACTAGCTTTGACTTGTGACTTGACTTGGACTTGCAGAAATTGACTTGTGACTTGACTTGAACTTGTATACAATGACTTGCTGCCACCTCTGTCATAGCCATATTGCCATGCACAAATGATGCATACATTGCATGATTTTTCAGGCCTCCAAAGATGGCTATTACAAAAATTAAGTGCTGCACTATGTAATTTTTCAATTTTTTAAGCAGTTTGGAGCAATACTTGTGACCTGTCACTGCAAAATGAGCTGAAAGTCGGAATTTTCAAAAATTGAAATATTGGTATTTTTTAATTCAGCAGAAAGAGAGCTTTCCAATGGTGTGTAAGTGGAACACTTAGAGCAAAAGTATAAGGTGAAAATGTGACACTATTCTGGCAGCTTTGCGTCTCTGTTTTAGACATTGTTTCAACATTTCTGACCGGGTACAAATAATAACATCCTCAAAATTGATGAGGAATTGACATTTTGAAATATCTGAGCCTGCAAACAAAATTTGGAATTAAATAGATAGGTTTCTTTCCGAATATTACAAAAAGCCAAAATTGGCCTCCACTTCAATATTTGACACTGAACCCTCAAAACAGGAAAGAGCGATTCCCAGCAGCAGGTCCTTTGTTCCGAGTACAGTCTTTTGTTACACAGACCAGCTCTTTTGTCCGAAACTGGGCACCCCGGCTCTGCGTACAAACACACGGTGCTTGAAACCAGGCATCCCGGCACGAAGTGGTTGAAGTACATTTGGGCCTCCGAAGATGGCATCTTCTGGCATCTAGTCATTGGGCTCTACTTGCTATCCAAATACAATAGGGATAATAGTGACCTGGATGCAAGGTGGCTGGCAAAACCGTAGTCTCTCGTTCCCTGGCTGTTGTCTGTCTTCTTGTTCCTCTTGAGGAATTTCTTGAAGCTGCCGCGCCGGCGGAGGATCTGGTTGTAGAGCCAGACGGCGCGGACGCGCTCCCTCTCTGGGTAGTGCCTGGACATGATGAGGCGGCGCAGGCGAAGCCCGTAGGCCTCAAACATGATCAGGAAGAGAGAGATGATGAAGATGGCACCTGGGGCAGTACAGGTTCAGAGAAGAATTGACAAGGGTATTATGACTGTTCAGTCTTTGAGGCTCTCTCCAAACACACAACACCTGCATGCACTGTGGCCTCTTCAGTTCCACTAGGCCAATATAGAAAAAAAGGTGTGCATTTTCCTTGCAAGTGCAGTTATCTGTCACGCAATATAAGCAGACATACTGAATTCTTGGTAAACTTTGAAAGTTCTGCTGTGCTTTTTTTGTTCGGTATTTTAAAGCCATGGCATGCAGTGAGGCCATTGTGTATTCTCCATTAACCATGCCCCTGGTTTTGGATTCTCAAGATGCTCTGAAGGGGATTGATTTTCAAGAAGCCAGTGGCTTACAAGTACTACAGGGATTAATTCTTGATCTCTTAATCTGTAAAGTTGACTGGAAAATGCCCTCCCATTAATGTGTGTTACAATGTTGCTGATTTACTTTATCTGTCAGCCAAAAAATCAGGGTACTCAGTTAAGATTTGGATCTAATATCTACAAATTCTTACTGCAAACATTTTTGGGCCAATCTGAACAACTTTTGGAAGCCAGCTGGTTGAATTAAAATTCTGAATTTGAATCGTGGATTTGAATCCTGTACATCTTCCTGAAGGCCAGTAACACTTTCTGACTTATCTCAAAGTGCAAATAAACTTACTTCCTGTAATAACGGTTAGCATTATTACCTATGACTCTATAGGTTCCAATGTCTGGCTGCGATGGATAGGGAAGGCATTTTGTAGTGTCAACCGCAAAGTCGCTGATGTACCGTGGATCAAGCGATTGGATAAGAGCACGGTAGATATCAACAAGAATCCCATCTCCCTGCACGTCCAGTGTCACGGCGCCTGGAGCTGTTGACAGGTACATGTAATGCCAAGTTGCATAGAAATCAGGCTGATCACTTGATGAAAGCCAGCATTTGCCAATTAGAATGCCCTGATTTGGTATGATTTGATGACCAGCTGCCCAGTTTAGTAGCGGAGCAGAAAAATGCTGCATATCAAATTCATGTTTGTCCTAGAAGCCGGGAAGCATTTCTGTTATTATCATGTGACGTGTTGATTAGTGACCTGTATTTTATTCAAAAGGAAATGCACTTCTGCGCTTACCAAACAAGTGTGCTTAGGAACCCCATGAGCTCAGCTTTTTAACATTTGCTCAATAAACCATTTGGGAGTTAAATTTGAATAAATCTGGTACACTGAGTGCTTCAAATTCACATGAACATAACAATTTGAAATCTTCAGACTAAAAGCACTGTTACTATACCTTGTGATTCGGGGCAAGCTTTTGCTTAGTGACATAAGAGACGCCTCGCAACAATGCACACTTCTCAATGGATAAGAAGGGCACAAAGGAACCAGTCCATTCCAGGGATTCCACTATGCAAAAGGTTGCCCGAAATCACAGTGTCTTTAGTCTGAGGAATTCAAATTGTTGCATTTATGTGCAATGAGATAACATAGTGTACCAGATTTTATGGAAATGTAACTCGCAAATGGCTTATTCACTCAGCTCCAGAGCATGACTCACCATTAATGTGTACGTTGAGCTCGCTTTGCATACGAACCCAGTCCAAAAACCAGTAAGCCATGCAGTCAGCTGCCATAAGTACTGCCGCATAGAAAAGTTGCGTGGTCCACATCACAAAACCCAGGATAATCCGCCGCTTCTCTGGCCTGGCTAGGTATACAGAACCTGTACAGAGGGACATAATAACCGGGAGCGCATTGAGGAACACGTGCTACTGTGAGCACATTCTGCTGTCCAACCGTTGCTAAGGTTCATTCATAAGGTTTATTCGTCTCATGGCAACATTACAGATTTATACCCATTATGTCGGAAATTGGTCACCTGATCAACAGAGTCATTATTACTGAGCACACACATCTACCAGGTACAGTTTTCTTACTTGGGGTGATATACTTCCTGCGCTCTTTCCTCTTCAGGGGGAGGAGGGTCTCTTTGCCTGCCTCTTTTCGTTTTTCATCTATCCCCTCAAAGTACTTGGTGACGTACCAGTTGTCATGTTTGTCCTTAACTCGGTAGGCGTGATAATACTTGTATGCTCTGCATTTCAGAAATCAGTGAGGAATGGATTTGCTCTGCTTAACATGTGGGTGACATTTTACATCTGAAGGTGGATTCCAAAAAATTGCTGGAAGGAGAAATTAAGGGAAATAGTGAGAAAGTTTTTCTACCTTACTGTATTTCAATGAAGTACCTGTAAATCACATTTGAAATATTCAGAGGTTTATATTATTAAAACAAATCTCCAAAATCAAAAGTATTTAGAGAGTCCTAAAGAGTTTTCTTGAATTATTGTTTTCATTTTTGAACTCCAATCTGGAGACCAGCATATAGTAGTGGCTTGTAGGAAATAAGTACAGGGTTCATGTCCACACTGAGTTTAGCCTTGACCAAGGCGTTGGATGAATCTTTGCCCCAGGATGTTAAGGCAACCTCCTGATCTCGGTTTGACTCCCTAGACCTTAACAGATTCTGTGCTGTTATGCAGACTAGTCTACATTCCACAGAAGCATCCTCTCATTTCCAAGACACATTTTCACTCTTCATCGCCTCTAAAGACCAGGAAGCTGGGAACAGAAGTGCCAAAGAACATATAAGGATCCCCTCAAATAAAAATAGAAATGGCTCTGTGGACTTTACTTGAGAATGAGGAGGATGAATGCGAAGGACATAAGACGGTTGAGCCAGGTGACCACCGTAAGGAAGCCCTCAGTCCTCTCCTCCATCTCCCCGAGAATGCTTTCCTTGATCTGCCTGGCCGTCTGGGAGAAGTTATAGTCCATGTGTATCTCATGGTGGAACTCAAAGTCCACATAGAACTGGTCTTCCAGTTTATCTATTGCACTGTCAATTACTGCGGAGAATCACCCAGACAAGATAGTCCTGCTTACCCTTCTTGCAATAAAAGAAATCGGGCCTGTTTGATTGTTCTAAAATTTCCTGAGAGCAATACTGCTTTCAACAATTACCATCTTCAATGACTTGAACCAGCTTTTCAAGAAACAAACAGAGCACAGCTATTTTGTAAAATCCAATCCAAAAGAAATGTGAAGAGTGATAACCTTGCTTGATTAAAACAGTAATCTGCTTAAACTGTCCAACAAATTCAGTATCTTTTTTAATGAACATATTTAAAGCTGTCAAAAAGTAAATTTGTTGTGCTTGTCAAGTACTTATTCATTATGTTGAATATCATATCAATGCAGGGAATATCTTGGAGACTTTTGAAGTGGAACAAAAAGAGATTTCACCAGATCTGTTGTCTGGCCTAATACACTTACCCTGGCTCGCTTCCTCTGCAAGGACTATGATTATTTGTGGAAAGATGCACAGGATTTTCAGAACTGTTGAGAAACAAGACCTCATAAAGCATACAACTACCCTTCAAATCAGAGGCAGACTCAAAGAAACGAAAACATTGGAGAAAGGTCAAGTAAATCTGACATGCAGTCTGGTGACCAAGAAATACAGTGGTGGATCAGAGGGTCATCGGGACTACCTGTAAATGAAACTCACCCAATCATCGACTGGTTGTCAGATCAGCAGACAAGGATGGGGTTAGTTATCAGTTATTCTTCAAACAGCAAACAAGTTCTTCCGAGAGCATGCTTTTGGCTGCTAAGATTTGTCTTCCATTTTCCACTTCTAACTTAAATGGAAAAGCTACTTGGTAACCAGTGGTTGCAAGATTGTGTGGCTCTGCAGGGATATTGTTTTGCTGCAAATTTTAGAACAAAAATTTTTCATTACTTACTGCCAGCTATGTGGCAAACGTTCGAGATGAGATCGACGATGCCACAGACAAAGTTGAAGATGGAGGCATGTTTGCGGCACTTGTAAGCAGCATGTTCAAAGGCCCTCTCACATCTCTTCTGAGGTACACCCAGCCGTTCATTGCACTTGTCCACCATGTCACTCAGCCAATCAAAAAACTCTGTGACCGCATTCCCTGGTTTAAAAAAAGATGGTTGGAGGCCCAGTCATAGAACAAGAATAACATTTGAGGTTGTAGAGATGCAGAGTTCAATACACAGACAAATGTCCCATCCGACAAACAAGCAGGCCAAGGCTCATGGGACAATTAAACATAAAGTATTCCAATGCCAGAAAATCATCTTGATATCTCCAGAAGGCTTTCAAAGACTCCACTCTCCCCAGCTTTCTTGCTGCCTGAGTGACCTACCCAAAGAGTCCACAGCATCTTTTATGGCCAGAAACCCTTCTGTGATCCGATTCCCGATGACTCGGAGTTTGTGGATCAGTGATGAGACTTCATCTGAAAAAGCTGTCCAAAAAACCCAAATGATTACCCTTAGAGGTGCATACAGGACATCACTTCAGAGATTATAATGCTCTCCCGGTAAAAATATTTAATTAGATTTTCAGGGATGAATATCATTTTCCACTCGCAGTAGCCTAATATCTTGCAATGCCTTCAGAAAATCTAACCCACGATACTATCATACTTCCTTTCCTGAATGCCAAGTTCCTCAATTTTAAGCAAGCACAGTTCCCATCTTCTCCGGGCATGATCAAAACCTTGCTTGTAGCTTCTACTCACAGGCCATGGGGGCTGTGACCACCTGGAACAGCTTGTAGGACTGGTTCATGGCCAGCTCACTGCCACAGACCTGGCTGTGCCCAGCCACGTCCATATTGTAGCTCAAGTTCTCCACAGGACCGCTCAGCACTAAGAGGAAGCCGTAGGCCATGAGAATTGTCCTGCCTTTCCCTACACATTGTGTCAAAGACCGAAGCCACCAAAAGTATACCTCATAATGATCCTCATATACCTCATACCTCATATTGATCATAAATATGTCCCAGCCTGACAAATATCATCATTAAACGTGTCATTTTTATGTGTTCCGGGAATCTTTAGGATCACCTTCACCTCAACTTTGAAATCATGATACAATGTTAAGTGATAATAGTGCTTGGGAGATACTGTTTAAATAGCCCTTATCCCAATTTATGTTGAATACCAGTACTGAAATATTTGCAGTTGATCGAAAAAAATTAGAAACTTATGAAAAAATGGGACATCCAACACACAATTTCAAATTCAAAGACCAAAGTTGGTTTGGGCAATCTTTTTGGCTTGGCCTACTTAGTTTTAAAGGCCCTGTTTCATAAAACGTGTTCAACGTTTAGAAACAAAAATCAAACGAAATTCAAACTCTTTGGAACTTGTTCTGCATGATATTTTCGGTAGTAACTGTCATTATGTGAGAGCCAAAAGAGTTTTCTAAAACCTGAGAAAAGTTGCGGCACCATCAGCAGCATAACGCAGCGGATCCGCCGGGAGAAGGCCATGCCGAAGCAGACGAACGGCCCGATGATCATGATTGTCAGGGCGGCCTGCTTGGGGTCCTGTGTGAGCGCCAAGACGAAGATCGGATAGAAGAGCATGAGGAACATGATCCCGCACAGGAAGCCGGCCACGTTCTTGGTGATCTGGTTGGCGAAGGTCCCTGATCGGCAGCAGGGCATGTATCTACTCAGGAAACGGTAGAACTTACCTATGCCACGGCAGATGGCGAAGATAGAATAGCGCACGCCTTTGCGAGGTTTGCGCTCCTCTTCGACGTCGTCTGTATCCTGTTTTGAAACGTTTGAAATGAAGGTCAAGTGCTTGTTTGTGTGGAAAAAAGAGGGTGTGTGCAAATTGCAGATTTTTGCACTTTGACATCCCCACTTCAGGTTTGGGAAAGTTTCTACGATAGCGGTAACATGATTACCATTCTTCCAAAAAGCCCCAACTTGAGACCCGGTTTTCATTTCATTTGGTCCATGGCCATGTCTCTTACATCGTGCATGTCGATTTCCATGTCGCCGAGCCCCATGAACCTTGGCTTCTTCTTCTTTTTAGCCGCCTTCTTGTCTCGCCGCTTATCCATCGAGTCCTGCATCTTCTCCTGCGCCTTCTCTGTCATCTTGTCCTCCACCTTTTGCTGGACTTTTTTCTTGACCTGTTTCTGCATTTGCTTCTTCATTTGCTTCTTGGCCACTTGCTTACCGGCCTGTCGTGTTGCTAATCTGGCGGCAATCATTTTGATAACCTTGTGTTTTCTAATTCCGATAACCAACGACTGGAACTAACATTTATCCCCCAGTAATCAACTAGGCCTAAGCAAAATTACTTTCGACTTACACCGCGTGGAAGTTTTCGAACCGTAGAGCTATTATATAAAACGTTTTGAACTCTTAACTTGATTTCCACGCGCTCAATTTCGGCAGTGGTGCGCGTATGGCGTACGTGCGCGAAACAATGAACGCTGGTGTTAGGGACCAAGACCCTCATCGGTTGAATGAAAAATATTATGAGCCAGTTCGATATTCCAAGAGGATATTCTGAAGAGGCCTCGAAGTGGAGGCGAAATATTTGAAGAAATGTTAAAAAAAAAACTTGGCTACCGTGTGAGTAACTTCATAAGGATATTGACTGAAGGCCTTAAAACGTTGGATTCATGGATTACAATTCCAACAGCCGATGCCAAAACTGAAGCGTGTCCGAGGTCATTCGGGAAAAGCGACACGCCCGCGTGATTGTCTGCAGCGCAGCATGCAATACGCCGCCGCCTCACGCGCGTGCTGTGGGCTGAATTCTCCAAGATCTCCACCAAAGATCTCCACGTTCATTGGCTAGTTGTCTTGAAAAGCAGCAACGAAGAAGTATTTATGTGCTGCAACTATATTAAATTGTCCGTTGTAGACATCGTGTTTTGATTTGAAATTTAGGCCCTATACCGTTTTCAAAGAAGCCTATGTTAAAGGGCTTTTAAATTTTTGATTGTGACGAAATGTCGTCATCTGAAGCGATGTTACTTGCTACTTAATCACAACGTCGTCATATTTTTGTTTTTCTCTTTGGTAAATCATTTACTCTGGTTTTTATTGCTGTTTGAGTCTGTCGGACTTCGACAATGAATTTGCGAGTGAACTATAGCTACATGCTCGTACGTTTGAACGTGGCTCCACAAAAAAATGACTGTGGTGAACACCCCCCCCCAAAAAAAAATTAAGATTTTTATCTCTCAAGCGCTTTTCATCGGTTATTTCTGACATGGTGTGCGATGCAAAGTTTACCCAAATGTCACCTTAAGCATCAGCTGATTGATGATTGACTTGGAGGTCACGAGTCCACGGTCACACAGTACGTCATCGGGAAATTTGCATTGAATGAATAAGCAGTGTTAAAAATAAATGCAAACACGTACGTACGTAGCGTGCAGCACACATGTCATGTCATGCATGCATGTGGACAGATAGGCCAGCAGACTTCACAAGGGCCGACGTGGACAGCATAGCACCATCGCGTTACGGTCGTCAAAGTGGACTTAGCCCTACTGTTTGTTTTACCGGTATTTCGTCTGTGTGGAGTTTTATGTTAACTGCTTGCTAACCTGCGAGACGGTCAATTTGAAAAGCAATTAAAATCTGTTCAGTGAACAAACATGTGGATGACATAACGGTGAAGACATTTGACGCGGAAGTACAGTTCATCCCCTATAATCGCCTGTACAGCTGTATCGGCACGTGGCAGCCTCATTTGTCGTTTTCTACTGTGCACCGAAAGCTGAGGACAACCGCAAAAAGCACCCAAATCTTGAAAGTTAAATCCACAGGAAACTAAGGGGATTCACGAAACTCTTTCGTGTGCGGAGACAGGAATGCCGTTTTCCATGTTTAATCTGACGGCGAACATGGATCTTCAGAGCATCGTTGTGTTTCCGGAATACCACAGACTCGTGACCGTTGTTGTCCCTGATTTGTGGGACTATTACCACGAGGAGCCAACCCATCCCGATGGCTTTTTGGGCGACTTGCGGACCTACTGCATGCCCATCTCCTGGCAAGAACTCAAGTTGCCGTTCCTTCTGGCCGTCGTCTGGACACTGCTGAGGATGCTGATGACAACTCAAGTTTTCAAGGTAGGGACGACAGAAAGACCCAACACACACAAAAGTAAATTGTATTCACCTCTGCTCATGAAAGAGCACCCTGTAAGGAAAATGTGTTTTCTCTGATTTTTATCATCAAATAAATATGGAAGCGTCCAAATCAAACACAGTCATGACAGTGTCATTTGTCTTCAGAGCTCAACCGTAACAAGCTAAAAAGGGCTTTTTTCTGTTCATGCCAAGATCCGAATTCTGAATGTAGATTGCGTCATTCGGAGAAAACGAGGGAACCCTCGCCCTGTATTCGTAGCGGATAAACCTTTATCATGCATGCCAAACAATGAGCAATTGATTGTAGCCGTTTGTAGTATATGAATGAGCATTTGTTCTCTATCACTGATCACCCAAAAAAATCGATGAGGTCACATTAATGATTGATTTTACATACGCCCCAAGGGTTAATCCTAACCCCCTAGGGTGTACGTAAAATTATATTGAAATCGGAGGATTTGGGACTGTTGGGGATGGGGAATGTTGAATGATGCGTGTACCATTATTACATTCCTTTGTCTTTATGGTTGAGAAGAAGGCACAAGAATGCGTCACAAATGTGGAAATACCTCGTATGCAAAAGTACTTGGATAAAGATATTGGATATGTTGAAAAAGCAGTTTGGCATTGTTGCTCAATTGAAACCTTGACAGTTACCTTCAATAACTGCAATCTGCCACCATTTCCTCCAAAGGTATCCCTGCAGTGTATTCAGGGTCATAATGAGTAAGGGTTTAACCTTCAACTATTTAAACTAGTAGGAAATACTAATAGCTTCTGAACACAGAGGCAGAGACCTTAATTTAATCTGTAAAAAGTTTGAGAGGTGTGTTTGAAGTTAGGAAGTTCTACATGCGTATTGTAAATGTAATTTGCCAACATTCAAAAGGCAGCAGATGTTCCCATTCATCAGGTTCATTTACAGTTTAAAGATGTGTATAATTTTCGTACAGCCCAAACCAGCTTTTTGCGCAACTAAATTTAGGGAATTTATAGTCTACACATGTGTACATACGGTAATGTACATGTATAGTATTAATGAGCAGATGTTTTAGGTAAATTTACTGTCTTAAGTGCATTCACTTAAATTTTGCTGGTACAGAAATTCCTCTGGGGGAATGTGCCTACATTGGCTCAGTGTAAAATACTACTTAGTAAAATGTGGCATACTGTGCTGTGGTTTGCATGAGTAGGGGACTACGTGTACATGTACTGAATTTATACCTTATTGTTCTCTGAAGCTGTAAAATGCATTAACTAAGATGGTGTACCATACTGTGGTGTGGCACCATGAATGCCTGTACGTGACTTTATTGTTCTCTGTAAGAATGACAATGGAAGTGCCCTAGCCGGAAGTAGTCATTTGTGGCACTTCATGTACACGTACTGTACGCCCTTCGAGCTCTGACTACTATATACCGGTAGTATTTTGTAGTACTAACTCCTGTCTCTCAAGTGATATGCCATGGGGTTAGTGCTAAATGAATCTTTTATTAATGTGTAGTGAAAGCCATATGAATGCATAATTCACGGGAAGTATTATCCACAATCGTAAAATGTCCAAACAGTCGCCAGGATGGCGCTGCGATTGACGTTGACAAGATTGATTGAAAGTTTGCCATTGTCCTGGTGAACATTACATGTAGTCTGAAAAGTACATTAGTCTGAAAAGTAAAAGAAGGTTGATCATTGTGCATTGCGCTCCCCTTAAACAAATAGAACCATCAGTGTTTACCAAAAAAGTTTGCCACCTGATCAGGGCGAACGACCTTAAACAGACTTGTCTCTGGTCACTGATCAAATTTGGGACGTCACCCTCAGTGCAAGGACTCACTGCACACACATGCATGACATGTACCGGTACATGTAGCTTAGTACAAGTACCTACAGCTGTCATTCTGAAAGCTGTATTGTATGTATGTACCAGTACATGTACATGAGTTATGCACATCATGCAGCCATTGTAGGGCTGCATAAGCACAGTTAACTTGGCTCAGTAAAGTTCTGTTACTGAGCAAACATTTGCAGGGAACCAGTCCTAAGCGATGCTTTGCATGGCACCTTGTTTCTGCTTAGCGTGTATTTCTTGGCATAGCAAATTTCTGACGTTGAACCCTGTATATCTCCAAAAAAAAGTCCACAAGGGACATCCCTACTGGTAGCTTCAGACATTGAGGGAGGAAGACAGATCATTACTTGACCCACACTGTGGGCCAGGCATTTGAGACAAGTCTATGACTCTGTGTTTATGCAGAGTGGCACTCTACTGTATTCAAATGAAGTAACTTTTTTTTTTATTCAGAGCATGGGTAGGCAGAAATAAACTGGTTCCTTGTTTGCATAGGCCTGTTAAAAGCTGCATGCATACAAGGAGAAAGATACAGTAGCTATGCTGGGCAGAGAAACATTGAAAAATGTCCACTGTAGGAAATACAGGTTTTATGCAATTTTGTTACCAAATATACTGTATGAATGCCTAAGTTTCTGATTTTCCTTCCAAGCATGTTTACTTTTTAACATACAAGTTTTCAGTGGGTGTTTTCAGAAAAATGCCCGTAATAAGAAAGAAGCACAGTATTTTTGGATGGAGTATCTTGATGCTACATGTACAAACTGTACACTGTACAATGAGATTCTGTCTGTATTGATCTCCACACTACATCTGTGACATCCTTTATGGAAATAGAATATCATTTATGACCACTATTGATCCTTCAACGTAGGATTCTAGGAACGTACCATAAGACGAAAGCCCAGCACAATGCCGCTTCAAATATAATGGACATCAGCATGGGGCCGTGGTGTGCACGTATTGCACGTTATATAATTGGGCGCAGCAGCATTGCAAATTTTAGGTGAACCGTTGTCCCTAGATTTTTTAAAAAGCTTTCTTGGAACCCACGGATGTTTGATGGACCGAATTTAGATCAAGACTTGGTTGAATAGTGTTCAAAAACAATCCTGAGAAACCTGGAAATCTACATACAGTACATAAATGTAGCTGCTTTCTCAGGCCACGGCCATGAAAGATCCTTCCTGCCCAACTGTTTATTTTATTGTATGCCGTATTTTGAGGCCCCCCCCCAAAAGAAGACCTCAAAAATTATTGATGCAGCTTTCCAAAGGAATTTTCGCCAAAACAAACCAGTATTTTCTTACAAGTAACACTTTGGTTTATTTGGTCCCCAAATTAGACACTGTAGTGTACATGTTCATGTACATAATCATCATTTTAGATTTTGTTCCCTGAGGCCCATTGTTAATCATTTCTAAGACTTGGAGAGCTGCACGTGTGGTTTATTCATACATGTACGAGCAGACATTGGATCACATTGGTTATTACTCACTTCCTGCACAAAGGACATGGAACGATCTCCTCATGTACATGTAGAAGTGGCCTTTTTGTCTAAATAGACCACTGTGTGGAACATGTACCTGTACTGTATGTAAATTCATGGATAAGCATTCTGTAGTTACTGCTTGCTGACCTCAGTGCAGGTATCATCTTGCTGCAATAAGCCATTTGCGAGTTAAATTTGAATAAAATCTGGTACACTGAGTTCTTTAAATTCACGTGAACATAACAACTTGAATTCACCATACTAAAACCACTGTTGCTATACCTCGTGATTCAGGGCAAGCTTTTGCTTAGTTACATAAGAGACGCCTTGCAACAATACACTGTTCTCAGTGGATAGGAACGGCACAAAGGAACCAGTCCATTCCAGAGATGGTGGTCGCTATGCAAAACTTTGCCCCGAATCACGAGGTATAGCAACAGTGTCTTTAGTCTGAGGAATTCAGCTTGTTACGTATCTATGCATTGAGATAACACAGTGTACCAGATTTATTTAACTTTAACTCGCAAGTGGCTTATTAATTGTTAACCCTAACTGCAGTCCTCATTCTCCAATGATTTTACATACTGGTACACTGTAGGGGGTAAGGGCTAATTATCAGGAATCCATTAGAGCCCCATGTACTGCTTTCCAGTTTCCTAAGCTTTAGTTGGCCTACACAAAACACATTAAAAAACATACATATACATACAATGTACTGTACATGTATGTATGTATGTATGGACAAGTTGAAAGAAATGTGCCTCAAAAGCTAGCCTCTTCAGTGAAAAATTACACACTCTTATGTCGACCACCAGCTTTGAAAGCATTGTGGTGGGGTTCACATGTGTTTACACACCCATGTTAATTAATTACCTGTAGTATGCATTTTTTGGGGGGATGTGTTTTTCAAATGAGCCAGATGTACATGTATGTACAGTACATGTAGGTATTATCAGAAGGGCAAGGTCTTTTGGGAACAAAGTGAGTACATGAGTTGGGCGACGGTTGTGCCGATTCATGTAGGGCATATAATCACGTTCACGTGCTGCTGTTCCCAGATAGCGTCGGATGTGCCTTAGTTTGGGCATTTACTGTTGGAGCTTACCACATCGGCTTATTACTGCCGATGAACACTTCAAAATTGCACTGTACATGTAAATCCTGCTGCCAGAAAGACAGAAGAAATGCTTCTTTACAAGAGACTTTAGGTTTCAAAGTGGCTACCACCCTTTCTACCAGACCTGAAAGTTTATTTCAAATGGAAGTAGAAGAGCCCAAGGCAGTCATCATAGAAAAGAATTGAGTGAATATTGAAACGCTTTTATTGTACCCTGGCAAACAGTCAGTACTTGAAAATTATGATTTTCATTTTTGTTTATTTTTCAAATTTATGAACATGTGTGTATTCTTGTGGAAAGGAAACAAAGAATGTTTTTTTATGCAAGTCACTTTATCAGCTGTTGTTACCTGCACTTGTAGTATTTCACGTCACGAGTGACATTGACTGTGATTGTGTACAAGGAGCGCTTCAAACCAAACAGTCCTTGTATCCCAAGGACCTACATGCATGACATGTGAAGTCCCCTGCTCTTTTTTGTATGCCTATCGGCATGTCCCACTCTCTTCCCCTCTCTTTGTTCCTCTCCCTTTGTCCGTGCACGGTCACTTCCTACAAGTACGTACTTGTTCACTGTCGTTCCCATGGGCCTTTTTGAAAGCATCTTGGGTGGACACAATAGGGGGGCCACTTGTAGCGGTAAATTTAGAGGAAACCCAAAAACAGTTTTTCCAAACCAAAGCACCCTTCTGTTGTGTTTGACATACCGTAGCTCATTTTGGCCAATGCCTATACTCCATCATAAAAGGGCCCCGTTTTGACCAATATTTTGAGAAATACGAGCAAGCGGTCCTGCAGGTACATGTAGCTTCCATACTGCTTTTTTACAAAGGATTCAGTCCACATGGCTTAAAGAGAATTTGATAGTACATGTATTCATATTGTGATTTGGTGTGCACAGGAAATTTGGGGCTTCCCGGTATGTTACTGTCTTGCAACCACAAGGGTGCGAGAAACAGACACTGATAGATTCACATTGTTCTTGATAAGCCACAGAATTCAGCATGTTAATTGCCACTGATTCCAGTAAGGCTTTTTACAGAGTTGATCTTAACATTTTCATTAATAAGTTCATTCAGTTAGGGGTGAGAGCTCCCTTAATTCCATGGATGAGCAGTTTCTTATCAGACTGTTTGCAGGCAGCTCGGTATAATGGTATTTTGTCAACATGGGAGTCCTTGCATGTTGGAGTTCCACAAGGAACAAAACTCAGACCTGTATCATATTTAATCATGATCAACGATTTTGTTCCCAACCATCCGGCCTTAAAACACTATAAATACATTGATGACCTGACATTAAGTCAGACATTCTCAGATCCCAACTAATCCTTAAACATGCAAAATGAGCTCCATCATCTTCAACACTGGTCCGATTTAAACAAAATGAAACTAAACCCTTCAAAATGTCAGTATATATGAACATTTGTTTTCAGCATAATCCACCAAGTCCACGCCCTTTCAACATCTCTGATCTCCAAGTTCAACAAACCGAAATTACATGTACCAGTATTGGGCATTTATATACAGAGTAATCTGAAGTGGGACCCCCAAATGAGTAACATGTGTAGTAACTTTAACCGAAGGCTTTATTTTTTACGACAACCTAAACAAAGTTATGTTTCCGTTAAGGACCTTCTAACAGTGTACATCATGTACGTGAGACCCACAATTGAATACACTTGCCCTGTATGGTACTCTGGACTTACTAAGTGGCAGATTGCTATTCTTGAGAGATTATAAAAGAAAGCTCTCTGTATCATGTTAGGTGGCGATCTTAGTGCAACAAAACCTTATGATGCAATATGTCAACACTACGGACTACCAACTATCGCTGGTAGACTGGAGCAACTCTTATTCAAATTTGGAAACCCTTTTAGAGTCCAAAACGTACAGCCATTGGCTTCCTCAAACCTTAAATAATAACTTACGAAATTCAAACAAAATTATTACTCTAAAATGTTAGACAAATCGGTGTAAGAGTACTTGTATTCTGGTCCTGGTTGACAGGCTCAACAAATCCATATAATGTTTATTTCCACTTGTTTCTAGTTAAATGTATTTCCAGTTAATGTGTCCTTATTTCCAGTTAATGTGAATTCCCACTTGTATTTAGCTTGATTAAGTGCTGGGTATATGCTTCGGGGGGGGGATGGTTCCCTCTCTCTTGTGTGGCATAATTTATCAAACATCAATGTGTTTCACTGGCCTTTGATCTGTTTGAAGTACAAGTACATGTACTGTACATGTACCGGTAGCTTGGCCAGGTACACAAACTGATGTTGGGGGTACGGAAGGGCCCTTTGGCCCCCCTAAAGTTTGTGATATTTATCTAGTATTATGTAAATGTGTACCCTCACCTTTTTTTCTGTCTTAAGTGCTCTGTATTTTTCTTAGTAATTAGACCAATTACAATGTATGTTTCTTTTTCGGGGGGGGAGGGGATTTTCTCACCTTCTAAGTCCTGTTCTTCGGATTCAGTTTTAAATTAAATTTGTGTAGCTTTTGTCTTTGTAAATGTACTGGCTTTAAATTTTGTACTATGTCCCGTGAATTTGCGCAGATTTTTGATTATCATAGTACCATCATTTTTTTTACAGAATTAACTTGATAGTATATTCAGGCCCTTTTTGGCCTAGTTGTGTTTTCATGGGTTATTTGTGTTATAGTCCGTTTTATTTATAAAAGTATTATAACATAATTTATATATTTTAATTTTCCTACACGTTGTGGATTTAAATATTTTTACGATCATGGATATGAAATGCAATTCAGCCTTTGGCTGCAATGTTCGTGTTTTAAAATAAACCAATAATAATGATAATAATAATAATAGATCTATACATTTGTACATGTACGATATTTGTACTTGAACCACAGACATTGTAACTGTATGTTTTTACCATGCATCCAAGGGATGTTACTTTGAAAGGTGGAAGCCCTTGATGGAACAGAATTACCGGTAGTTGCAATTGGCAGTTTGGTCTTAACAGGATGCAGGCCAAACTCAATTTCCCCCGGCATCGAGTTACGCAGTAAGCTTCAAATGATTTCAATCTCTGGATTTGAGAGCCTACAGCACTCGCATTACATAATGCACATCAAGGCGGGTTGCATGTGTGTTCCAGACCAGGGCCTTACCCACAGAATAATCAGCGTTGGCTGAAAACACTTGGCCACAGGCAACACAGGGATGATGAGATTTCTGTTGAACCTACAATGCAGACATGAGATTTCCTACACACAAAGGGCGTTAATTGATAAGTTGGTGTGGACTGTAAATGCAAAAAAATGGTAAATTAGGAATCTGTGCGGGGGTTCTGAGACCTCATGGAGATGTCCACAATAGAGAACAGTTGTAAATACTGCCATTATGCCCACATAGAGCACAGTCTAAGCACAGGTACATGATGGTCATGTTCTGGACTCGAAGGGAAAAAATGGTTGAGGCAATGGATGTGTTTGAGCACAGTTTCTACAGACACCAGCCAAAGTTTTGTTTCTTTGTCATATGCCTGTTAAGATTTTTCCTGAAAACAAAAATAGGTCATTTTATGTAAATCTAGGGTTTTATACATTTAAAAATCTGGGTTCCATTTGCTGGTGTCCCTGTGGTTAAGTAATGCAAAATACCTGCCAAGCAAGTTTAGTTTGATGTCAGTTTCAATCCTATTACCCTGTCAAATTACACCAGTCAGGTGTAGCAGAGACACAAAAATGTCACATTTCTGGGCACTGAATATATACATATGTTTAGGGCTCAGATTTAAATCCTACATGTACGTACGGTATAGCAGGATCCAAATTGTGTCCTGTTTTTTTAACACATTTGCTTCCCTTTGCTGCATCATTGTCCAAGAGTATGCTCAAATTGCATTGGTCATTGGCCCGAGTAAAGAGGAAGTGCACAAGGACAGTGTTCCTGTCATTCTGCCTTATCACTCGCCCAACATTTTCCACCCTGCAAATCCACACTGGTGAAAATTTTAATGACTTTAAAGTCTCGCTGGCCGTAGCTCATTTCCTTTCCTGCATGCAAATGAAGTACTGATAGTGATATATTTTGTGCTCAGGGGTATGTCTGATAAGGCACCAACTTGTTTTAATTGTTGGCACTCTCTAGTCGGACACTGTGTGTGAAATTTAAGAAGGGAAAAAAAAGCTCTTGCAAAACTGAAAACAATTTTTGAATGAAGGGCATTACAAGTTTTAATGATGTACACTCATGTTGCCCCTGCTAACCCAAGGGATAGGGGAAAAAGAAAGCCCTCCTTATGTTTTCTGTTGACACTGTTGGTCGTTCTTTCTCCCAGTGAGGCATTTTTGGGGCTCTCCGCCAACATTGTCAACGGTTGTTACTGTGACGTTCCTTGGTCACAAGGCATTGAGAAACGAGTGAAAGTGACGATCGAAAAATCACTCTTGTCCCACTTTCTGCGATCTTTTCCCTTTTTAGCCGCTTGCAGTTTGGGGAAAGCTGCGAGAGGACAACATTAACAAGTTGCCCGAGAGTGCCTGGCGCTGTCTGTGCCACTGCATCACGTGGAGTTTCGCAGCCTACGTCTTGCTGAGCAACTATCCAGACATCTTCTTCAGACCACACACAGCCTTCAAAGGTTTGTTTTACGTTTCTCTCTGTTTTTAAAATGTTCCAATCCAAGTAAATCACACTTTGGCATAATGTACAGCCACTTAGAATGTCTTAAAAGGCCAGTTTCCAGCCAGCATGGGTGGTGTCAGGATAACGGGGGGGGGCAACATTCATCAGCAGCATACTGAAAACTATTAAAAGTGGAAGGGCTTGCTGACATATTTCTGTGTGAATTGGTGATTCTCATCACCTCTCCTCCTTTGGTTTGTTTCTCTCACTTCTTCTTTTCATTTTTTTCTATTTTTACATTTTTCCATTTTTTTCCCAACAGGCAGGGGAAGGGAAATGCCGCCTTGCCCCTCCAACCCCTACCCCCAGCCTGTGCTGGCCACGGTTTACTAGTCAATAATTGAGCTTATATACAATGCGTGTCACAATGTGTACTTGACAAAAACAGGTTACCCTCAGGAATGTCAGAGATTGTTTTCATCAGGGAGGAAGGAACCAATAACTGCACATTTTCCATGTAACTGGTTTTAGAGTCTAATTTTGAACTGGCAGCTGAATATAAAAAGCAGGGAAGAACATTTGGTGTTCACTTAATTGAGCAGGAGACAGAGATCACATGCATGATGGTAATGACCCCCCCAAAAAATCATACATGTACATTAATCTCTGTGATCTCGTAATTCTGTTTAAAGGACGAATTTAAAGCAAAATCAGTGAGCACTTGGTAGTCAGGATCATCTGAAACCAAATATTGACTTTGGCATTGGTTAAATAAGACAATAAAGGGGTTTGCACATCTGCACATTGATTAAAGCCTTTGTGTAAATCCAGACCCAAAGCACAGTGGAGTGGGCGGTCATAACTTGGCTTGAATAATTCATGTTTTAAACACGCGTATGCCGGGGGGGGTGCCTGCTTGAAGCATGTCACACTTGCTGGTGGATGCTGCACGGCGGGCAAACGCTGTCTTCAAATTTGAATGTGCATTTGATGCACATTTGAAGGTCAGCATGGTCGGTGCATTAGGGGTAAGGTCCACTCATTCAAGCCCCGTTGAAAACAGTGTAAAATCAGTATTGTTCAGGGCCTAGTAATATGCATGCCAACATCCCTGAGATATATGAAACATAAATTAAATTCTTGTCTGGTCACTAATCTTTGAATTTCTTTTCAAGTTTTTGTTGTTCAACCAATTACATTTAAATTATTTCCACAAAACCAAATCACCCCTGAAAAAGGATTTTTGTGAAGTCTGATTGTAGCCATTTTTCAAGTGGCAACCCTCAACTTTCTCAAGCACTTAGGACCATTTTTCAACTGTATCTTTTTTAGCCATTCTGCTCTCATATGAAAGCTCAAAGACCCAGGGAGTTGATCCTGGCAACGATTTACACAATCTCACCATTTTGGGGGCCAAACAATCTCCTTTTTCGAAAGATACTGTGGGGGGCACTTCTAATGCTAATGAGCTGGCCCAAAATTCTCACTTGAATTAGTAGACTGCGCCCTTTGATATGCTAGCACACACTTGCTAGACAACCACAACCAGTGTGGCTGTCTGTGGAATATAAGGTCAACAAACTTTTGTCGTAAATGTTGCTGTTCCTCCATAGATGAACTTGAAGGCTGCCAGCACATTTTACTATCCGTATACTGTGCATATGATTAACATTTATGTTAAAGCCCTTCCTCCGGGGTATGAAGCAAAGAGGTCAATAAACTGGTATTAAAAATACATGTACATATATTACTGTCGGTGTATAAAGTGTTGGGCCAGCTGATTCATGCTGACGCATTGAGCGGTGTGTCCAATGTGATGTGAACGGCACTCCTTGTCCCTTATTTGCACCCCCAAACCATGGTATTGAAGCACAAAGATAAGCGTGCCACGGTGGAATTTGAGCTACATGCGTACTGTACATGTGCAGGGAAATAACTTCATCTGTAGTCTCGCTGAATGGTTGTTCGCAGTCACTGCTTAATTACATGTACAGCCCCACACAAAATTGCCTGCACCTTCATAAAAATGTAAACACTACCCACAGTGAATGTGAAACTCTTTGTTATCTGCGTAAATAAGACTTGCATGGATGGTTAGTTTTCTTTTGTCAGACTGGGCAGTAGGGAGGTGAACATGGTGTATACTCTACAGATTAATTAATTAATGACTGCGTGATAGCATTACAATCCTGACATTATTGTAACAAAGGTTCTTGATGGCTCGCCCCATGGCTGGATAGTATTGCACATGCCTGCATGTAATGGACGAGTTTCTGGGGCAGACAATTACAAGTAAGGTCATTGTCATTTGTCATTCACTTGAGGCAACAAAAGTGCTCACAAATCTAAAGAAGATGTGGGACAGTACCGGTTATGCATAATTCCTGTTGTGGAGAGGCTCCTAGCCTTTTAGTTCCATCCACATGTATGTTATATATACATGTACATTACCTAGAACATACATGTACAGGAAACGGCATTCCAAAAATAATGTCAGCAAAAGATAATAAAAGGTCAAACCCAGCTAATCCTATCCCAGTTTAGCATTTGAGGGAATTATTTTCCACAAATTCTACACCACTGCTTTCCCAGGAAATCAAGTATTTTTAACACGATTTTTGCACAATTTGAAAAAAAAATTGCAAGATTAAAATTTTTTAATCAAGCACACACGTATAAATACATGTACATGACATACATGACTTAGTTATAAAAATTGATCAGTGTGTACAAATGTGGCTCAGCAAGGTTTCTTGTCTCCACTTTCATGTTCTGACTGCATGTAACATCAAAAGTGTAAAAGTGTTGAGCAACTTTTTAGAGAAATGTCTGATCAGATAATGTTCTTGTTCAATGTACATCCCAAATAAAACCTAAATCCCCATCATCTGATTGGTGGATAGCTGATCACATGTCATCAATGACAGATAAAATGTTCCATTCCACTCTACTTTGCCTTATGGAATGGAATAGTTCATCTTTCACCTCATGAAATTATTCTTACCATAGCATGTACCCATATCTGCATAAATCCTCCTCTTTTCAGATAGAAAAAAATAGACAACATTCAATATTTGCATACTGTACAGTAAAGCCACTTCAGCAGGCTTTTGTGGAATGCATGGGCCAGATGTATGTACAAGCACCGGTACCTACATGTATGTTTGCCCAGACTGGGCGTGCAGCTCATTTCCTTCAACCATCACAATGGCAGTCTAAGATGTTTCTTTTCCTTTCATGCTCAAAATCCCCCTTGCTTAGACAAACAAGGCAGTGAATGTGGGACTTCTCAAGCGCTTCCTATTGGTCAGTTCCCACGTGGGGTGATGCCTGCCCTGCGAAGGAAGAAGGTCCCTGTTACCAGGATCAAGCCAAAGCTGATGAAGTTGAACCCTCCTCAACCAGTGCATGGTCATTTTGTAGCAAAATAATACATGTACATGTAATGAGATGCCAGTTTTTCAGACAAAAGCCGGATTTTAGGCTGTTGTTAACTTACTAAGTTTGTCATTATCACAAGGTTTATGAGAGTGGTGATTTTTAAAACTTGAGCTGGGGGGGGATGATTTAATGAACTTTCTGCCGCATGTACCGGTAATACCAGACTTCATTTGTTTACTTGTAAACAAAAAATGCATATTTATTTGTAATCACAGTAAGTGTATATATCCTTTACTGTATTACTTATGGCAGTTAAGTTAGAAGGTGAAGGTAACATTAGCCTGACTATTAGCAATGAATGAAACTTCAAGCAGTTTTTGGTAATATGATAATATCTTGTCATTATCCTGGATTGTAGCCTCCCACTGTTGATGGAGTGTTGACACAAGAGTTAACAATAGCTTTCAGCCTCAGTCACTTTTGATAGGAAAACTATGCACCAGCTGGGTCAGTGCAGTGTTTGTGTAATCCAGAAAATAGTTTACACTATGAGAGTGGAACCATTGTGTTTCCCTTTTTAAACTTGAGGAAATGGGAGGTGTTTTGTGTGGATGGCTTATCTCTCTGAAAAAGTACATGTAGTGTTTGGTCTTATTGTTAAACTGCACCAAGTTCCTTTGCCACTATATGCACAGCGTATCTCATCCGTATATAGTTTATTTGAATGGCCACCAGTAAAGACTGTTCTGCTATTGAGCTATTTTCCCCAAATTAATTGCACATGTTAGCAAAACAAGAAATCTTCATGAAATAAAATCCATATTAAGATCATATTTTTGGGGTCTGAGCATGGCAGTAAGTTTTCTGCAGTTACCCTAGTAACATGCTGAACACTTTATTCCCCTTTTTATTTAATTTCTTACTTACAAATTTTCATGTCTGAAACTTGGTTTTCCAGATTGGAAAGTGGGTAACAGTGTGCCCTCGGATATCTACCTGGTGTATGCCATTCAGGGCGGTTACTATCTCCACCGCATTGTGGACACGCTGTTCCACGACATATGGCGGACGGACACGGTCGTCATGTCCCTGCACCACGTCTTGTCCCTCACCCTCATCACCTTCTCCTATGCCTCGAGGTAAAAAATAGGGCCTGGTCCCTGTCAACTGGCTACGGCTGGAAACGACACATGCGTTTGTGGAAAGTGGCTGCAGCCAGCTAGCCATTGGTGCGTGTGTTATCTCTAGCCATAGCCACAATATTCAGACGTGCTTGTGAGAGTAAAATAGTTAGATGACCAGCCGAACTGGCTCATAACGATCACTGGTAAATCTTAGTCTGCAGTCTTCTGCTCTGCTGTCTAGTTGTTCTGTGAAAGTTGGGGCCAATAACTGTTAACAAGTTGAGGTGAGTGGAGCGACCCTTACACACCCTCATCATTATACCATTTCACTCAGTTGTGTAGTTGGTTTGTTAAATTTGGGGGACACAGCAGCACAGGCTTCAGTTTAAGGTGGGGAACTACTTGTCTGCCCCCCCCTTATACCATTTGACTTGCAATATTGTAATGCTTCAATCACTGGTAAAATATCACCGAAGAATGTTGGACTGTGAATGCTTTATCCAAATTGAAAAATAAGTAGGTTTGTTTCCAAACTTAATTACCTACTGATTCCACGCTTGTGTGCCTCCAAGCCATTCCAAAAACAGTTGTGTCAGCTTTTCCTTCCTTCTCCTTTTCTAGATATCACAACATTGGGATCCTGGTTTCGTTCTTTCACGACTTCGATGACATTTGGCTGGAGGTCTCCAAGGTGTGTGTCTACCTGAAGTTCCGCAACGGCAAGAAGCATCAAAACTGGCAGACGTTTGCCAACATCTGCTTCACCATCCTCACCATTTCCTGGTAAAAAAAAACAAATGGAAAACACAGTTTCTGTGATATTCAGAGCACAATTCTCATGATGAAACCGGATTTGATTTCAAAGAATGATTTCGCAACAGTTTCAAAACAAGATAACTCGTCTAAAACTGTACAACATCTAACTTTATCCCCCCCCAAAATGACCTACCCTTACTTGTTTATTCAGGGAAGTAAACCCACCCTTATCAGTCCGATTTCATGCCTTTGTCAGTTGTAAGACAACATCTTGGCAACATAGACAAGCGTAGACTTGTCCACGCTGTGTGCACCTGAAATTTTAGGCTGAAATGTCAGAGCTTACATCCTTGTGTACAGTTATCAACAGCCCCATCGCATATGTTAGCAGTAAATCATGGTCTGGAAAGGCTAATCAAGAATACACGGAGGAGCACTCAAAAGCAGTATGCATCACAGCCCGATGTGTTGGCCCACTTTTTTTTTGCCGAGCTGGTATTTCTCAGGCTGTGCACCACTGAACTGGGTGCAACTCGTTGTCATTTCTTTTGCTCGAGGAAAAGGCAAGTGGTTTATTGACAGAAAAAAAGGCACTGAAGTGTCCGTCAGTTTCTATCTTAGGATGCATTTGTCAACAAGGACAAAGCTCTGCGTCGAGTTCATGTCAACCCATCTGCACATAACTTCTATACATTACCTCTCGGTTCCAAATGTGTTACTTATCAATAAGATTTGCTTGCTTTATACTTGAACGATATTTGTCGATGTACTAACATAACTTCTATACATTACCTCTCGGTTCCAAATGTGTTACTTATCAATAAGATTTGCTTGCTTTATACTTGAACGATATTTGTCGATGTACTGTGGTATGACGATGTCATTAATTTTGGAAAATGTACCAAAATTGACCACATGAATTACATGTATTTTCTAGCCTCCATTTTAACAAGGTCTTGCTTTTTGTCGCCATTTAGGTGTGTGATGCGTCTTTACTGGTACCCGCTCAAAGTGCTAAGGAATTGCACTCCCTCTGTGGCCAGGAAGCATGCTATCGGCTTTGTGCCTTTTGGCATCCTCTTCAACATCATGCTGTGGCTACTCCTAGCACTGGATATATACTGGTTTATGGTAGGTCCCGAGGTGCCTGTCATTTGTACACCGTCCATTCAAACCTGTTGTGCCATCACGGCACTGCCAAAGTCCACCGTTCAGCAAGCCCAACTCATTCTGAGTCATCGCATTCATGTAGAGGCACATTGATTCCGTGCAGATGTGCATGTTGCATAATGTAGGGCTTCAAGGACATTCTCCTGGTTTTAGCTAATGTACGTTTTCTCTGTGTGCAGGCCTTCATGTGTAATTTGTGCCGGTAGTCAGATACGTCTGTAAATTGCTCATGTAATTTGGTAATCAATGTATGCAAGCATAAAGATGATGCAATCTGCAAAAACTCTTCACATGGTGATCTTTGTTATTTGGATGCATATAAACTTCTAATTAATATGGACATGCTCTTGTTTTCAGATCTATTCTATTTATGATTCTGGGTTGTCTGCAACATATATCTAGGTTGTCTAGAATCACAAATTCAACAGTTTTGAAAACAGGGCAGTGTCCAGATCAACTTGAAGTTGATATGCACCCAAAAGACAAATCTCACCATGTGAAGGGGTTTTCGCTGATTACATCAGAAATATTTCTGCCGTTACATCTGTAACTTCCCATGGAGACCTTGCCCTTCCGTATAAAAATTGTTTCTGCTTTCATTTGCGTCATCAATATTGTGAGTAGGTTATTTATACTGTAACTGATCAACCATCCCCATATGTTTTCCCCATGATGCACATGTACATATCCAGTGTCTGAACAGTACAGAAATAGAAAGCATAAACTTTTAAGTACATGGAGATATTAATTATGTACCAAATGGGTCCCTTATTATAAAAAGGAGAAATAGAAAAGAACGACCTTGTCCAGGCAACCAGCTGGGCCGAATTTATTGTTACCATTATGAAATTTTTTGCTAACCGTAGCACGGTAAATGTATTTCACAGCAAGCATTTCATGGTTGCTTTTTCAAGCAGAAAAATTGCATTGCCAGGCATGGAGAGTTCCATTGTTGCCTCACTGCGTTTAGCAAAGTCTTCCTCCGTTGTAAGCGTGCCTTTCCCTGTGCTTACTGCTTATGGTCTCCATGAAATTCATAGGGCTTTTGTTAGTGTAGAATTGTGTGCTTAGCAGGGCTGTAAAATATTTTTCATGTCCAAATATTCAATGTCCAACATACATGTAAACAATCTTCAGATATTTTTGACAAACAGTGGCCAATTCAAATACTCGGCACAGCTGTAGTTGCCTGACTGTTAAGTGTTATTAAGTCCATCATAAGTCCCATGAAAAGTAGCAAAGGAGAAACAACAGCAAGGGAGTGCCTTTGTCAAAATCTACTCAAGTCGCTTGACTTGGCTTTGGACTGTGTTAGACCTATTTCTGATAGCCTTTATTGTGAGGCCTTGTGAGGACTTTTGGCGGGCTCGACTTAAGCACGGCTTCTGAAAAGTACCCTCAATAATTTCATTTACTGAGTCATGTATTTCTTGAACACTCTGGGGATTTTGTGCCGTCTATTCAACAAACCGTTATGCATTTGTAACAGGACATTATAGACGTGCAGAGTGTGAGGTTTGCCAGTTTTGTGCACAGCGGGTTGAAAATTGGTCACCCATGATCCAGTCCATACTCATGAGTTAACCTGACGTGGATCTGATGAGTAAGCCACTCGCTGCGTCTAACAGTTCCCAGGTGGAGTTGATGTAAAGTAATCTTGTACTCTTTATTCTTTTTTTCCTCTTCTCCAGCACATTGTGGTGGTTTTGAAGAAGGTGGCCATGGGTCAGATGAAGGAAGTGGACGATATACGTGACTATGACGTAAATAAGCAACTCATGGAAGAAGAGGCTAAGAATGCAAAGCGAGAGTAATGAAAATGTCGACCAAAACAATTGGTAATATTAAAGGTGCAGTCCATCATTTGGCATTAGTGCATTATGTTCCTTTTGAGGTAACAAAATCACTCAAAATCTAGAGAAGGGTGCCAAAGAACAAATCTGGTGAAGTTTCCGCTCAGTGAATGCTGAGTATTCCGAGAACAACAATATTCCAGGATTTTGATTTAAGATCAAAAGTTACTGAGTCATGTTTTGAATTGTGCCTGAATTCAACATGTATGACACATTGTCATGTTCAGTTGAACTCAGATGCTCAATGTCAGACTCAGACGCAACGAATTATAGTAACTGCGCAGGCTTGTGTTTCGTGTCAACACTCGCAAGTGCTTCTAATGGCTAAGTGATGCATCGTTAGAGGTATTGCTGGAACTGGTGTTCTTTCCTTGTTACCTTCAAAATGACAGCTTGCCAAAAACTTGGAAGAATAGTTCCTGTGGGAGTTTTAGTCCCATGGCCGTCTCTGAACCAAGCACACTTTTCAACAATAATTTCATTCATTTTGTTTTGGATCACTACAAATGATGGACTGTACCTTTGAGCTAGCAACCCTCCCAGACCCTCTTTGAAGGTGCAGGAGGATCTTGAAGGATTGCTGTTCCCTTTTAACTTGGGCTTGATGCTCCTAGAAAGTTTAAAATTGTAAAGATGGATCCATTGGTTTCCTGAACAGTGGGGCATTTCAGGACGATTTGGCAAGGTTCCTGGCCAGCCTTCAAGAGCTTGGTTTGATCATCTATTGTAAAACTTTCACTTTTTTCAATTATGTTCAGCCATTACAGTAAACTACCCTGCCCCCCAAAAAAACAAATTCCTTCCTAGAACAGGTTACTTTTGTCCTTGAAAATATGATCATTGCAACATACTTAAACAAAAATTCCTGCAATAAGAGCAGTGAAGTCAAAGTAGAGCTGAAAATGGTCTGGTCACAAGTCTAAATCAAGACGTAGCCGTATAGGGGGATTTGTTTTTGTTTGTTCTTGCTGTCTTTAAGGAGGGGGTTGTGGGGTGTGTAGAAGCTTCAAAGTCAAGGTTGTGTCACAATATTTTAGCATAATGCTGCATTGTACGTGTCACATCTTACCACACACACATCAAAAAAGATGAAGACGGGTCTATGTGAAAGTTTTTAAATCTGTCTGCCAAAATATGTCAACTTGTACATTTTTTGTCATCAGCAGGTAGAGTATAGTCCTGCTTAAACAACTCCAGTCAATTATTGACAAAAATCACAGCGATATCGTCAACTGACGTCTTCTGTTGCTTGCATTCCTTTCTGCTTATGTCACACAATCATTTTTCACGACAGGGGTTCCCTCTTGGTGGTGTAACCACGGGGGGGGGGAGAGGCAGGTGCTCCCCACAAGTTCCCGGTGCCCCCCACTGAAAAAAAAATGGACGAATGGATATTGAACAATGCTAACAAACACTCGTCCCCCCCAAAAAAACAAACCACTGAAAGCTGGTTGCCCCCCCCCCCCGATACCGGTGCCCCCTTTGTTCCCCCTTTTGTGCCTCCTCCCTCTAGTAAAATCCTAGCTACGCCACTGTTCCCTCTGTTCCTAATTAAGGCCGTGTCCGAAACGGGCTTCCAGAGCTACGGCTAGGTCTATTGTCTACGTGTCTCCATGAATTTCCAATGGAGTGAAGATCTAGACCTAGCTCTAGACAAGAGATTTGGATGCAGCCTAAGAGGTAGCTGTAATGAGGTTTTTGTTAGATACAAATTTTCTGCAACTTTGAACTCTCTTCAATGTGTGAAAACTCTTTAACATTCCTATTTGGTCAAACGCGTTGAAAAGTGCACTTTTTTTCATTAACCCTCCTATGCTGAAGTCACTCTTTGGGTCACTTGGTAAACACCTCAAAGAAGCACAGCTGTGTCATGTTGTGCACTGCACCAACATGCAAGAGAGTGACCCTGGGCACTTGTGCATATTTGTGCTGTAAAACTAAAGGAGGGTTAACTTAAAATGGTGCATGCTTTCCTGGACAAGTGAGGGCACTGTTGCTGTGATGTCATCCAGGGAAGACATAGTTCCATGTATAGGTTTTTCTGTTCAAATTGTAAACCCAGAATTCACTCACTGAAAGCATTTCTCAGAAAGAGATGGATGCTTGCTAATTGCTGTGCACACAAGCAACAGTGAATCAGCAAAGAGAAAATGTATTCCAGTTGAATTTTAAAAAAATGCAGGACCTTTTTGTGCACAAACCAGTGTAACATGAGGACATCTTCCCAGGGCGACATCACAGACAAAGGTGCATTTTGAAGGTTTGCATCGAAAACAAATTGATTGCAGCTGCCGTTTAAGAAGCGAGGGCATCGTGATGCACATCTCCTCTTGGTCCAGTTCCAAATGGCCGGTGCGGGCAAGACGTAGGGTCAAAGCACATTTCTTTACGGGGCATGCCCATACTTGCCCTAAGTTGAAGCATTCTGCATTTCCATTTACATGTCAACATGTGTGTGTGTACGGTTGCCTGCTCTTGCATGAAAAAGATACCCCTCACCAGATATTCAGACACTTGGCGCTAAAGATGTTTGCCATAGAATTCTTAGAAGAACATCTTTTTTTGTCTTGAGCACCAAAATTTGGCTACTATCATATGAGTGGAGGCAAATTTTAAGAACGTTAGGTTCAATTAAATAAATGACTTGTACATTATATTTAAATACAAAACCAAAAACAGGAGGGATGGAGTTTTTCTTTTTTCAGTTTTTCTCCTTTAAAGAGCTCCTCTAAGGAAAACAAGTTTTCTCTGATTTTATCTGTTCAAAAAAATATGAAAACATCCAAATCAACATAGTGTCATTTGTCTTCAGAACTCAACTATAACAACCTTAAAAGGGTTTTTTCCGTCGTGCCAAGATGCAAATTCTGAATGTAGATTGCATCATCCAGAGAAAACAAGGGGAACCCTCACCCTGTGTTCGTAGTGGATAAACCCTTGTGCATGCCAAACAATACAGGTAGCCATTAATGACACTGCATTTGATTTGGATGCTTCCATGGTTATTTGAACAGATAAAATCAGAGAAAACATGTTTTCCTTAGAGGTGCTCTTTAACATGTTGGGTGAATATTGTGTATCATTGGTAATTAATAAGCATAAACAAGCATAACTGTATATTGTTACTACATTTTATTTGCTATTTAATCAGTTTAAAAAGGAACAGAAACTTAAATTTTGTTTAAGCTGTTAATTAAGTTCTTGGAAGATTGTAGCCTTGATCAAGGCATTCGTCATGCATTGCTGCACAGCGGGGCTCGCACAAGCCGCTCGCTGACCTAGTACATGTACATAACGTGCGTATATACCTGCATACATTGCAAAATCAAGGCAAAGAGCGACTTCATGCACCCTAAGAAGCAAAGAGCGACCTCACGCAGCCTAAGAAATAGATTTGCATATTTTTTTAGGCCGCTTGAGGTCGCTCCTCACCTTGATTTTGCAATGTGTGCAGGTATGTACGTACGCAGGTATGAACTAGGTCAGCCAGCCACTGATGCGCGCTGCGCTGCAACGAATGACGAACGCCTTGACCAAGGCTAGGAACATAGTGGTTTGAAACAATTCTTGGCAGAGCCAGTAAAGACTGAAGTGTGCATTGTCCGTAGGTGCATTTATAGAATGCCAAGTAATAAAATATCTGGTTTTATTTGAATTCAGTATTTCAGGGAAGGAAAATTAGGAAGTATAAGGTTGTATTTACAGAAGAATTTCGACAGCAACTAAATTTGAATCAGTTCATGGTTACCTGGGCTAAGTAACTTTTGTAATAATTAACTTATATTACAGTGTTGCTCCTTACATTCATTAGGATATGTATTTTATTTGGCTGACTTGATCAGTACAGCGAGAATTGAACTCAAATATAATATATTTCTTCAGGGAATAAATATGTGCTTGGCAGGAAAGTGGACGCGACTAATGCCTGAGCCGCAAACACATATTTATTCCCATTCCTAAATACCTTTTTAGTCAGGGGGTCTGAAGAAGTCAATATGTGATGGCTTTCCAGTGATTCCGTTCTAGAATTTTACTTGCAGTTTCCCAAACACCCCCTTCCATTTTCTGGAATATTCTTTTTGCAAATTTCCCAATTGGCTTGCACGTGGCCATCATGGGGCTTTGAATTTCTAATTACGAGGATAGAGAGCATGCCATTTGGCAGGTTTCTTGTCTAGTTGATGTTGGTGCCGGGATTGGCTGACCAGTAGTAGAGGTAATGCATCCCTGGCAGCTTTGTGGTGTCTCAGAGGCTGTTTTGTTATTTTAATTTCGTTAAAACAAGTGCTCAAAAGGTTTACTCCAGCCTATCCTCGTGATACAAACTTCTTTTCCCTCTGAGGATGCTTTAATGTGTAACGTCTATTCGGGGAGTTAAGAATATGCACAGTGTTGAATTTTAATATGGTCATTGTGATCCTTTGGCATTGCTGCTGCAATCGCTCATTTGTGAATTCCTTAGATGCTTTTGGTTATGTTTAAAGAATTCTTGGCTCTGTGTAGTGGCACACTGGGGTGGGTTCCAAATCTTTTTCCTCTTAATTGAAAACATAGATACAATATACACCCACCAGTGTTGGAGCAAATGCTTAGGTTTGGACCCTCAAGCCTTAAGGCTAAGGTCAGGGTTTAACCCTCAAGGCTAAGGGGCTTAACTCTCAAGGCTAAGGGG